AGAAAGTAAATATTTTAGTAAGTTTGATTGTAAATCAGGATGAAAAGAAAAGAAGCTAAGGATGAGAAGAAGAGTTCTTCTTTATCTGAAACTTTCTATCTCTCTTACTCTCTGAAGTTTCATATGAACTTCACATGCTCACTCTATACAAGCCAACGGATTCACATGATTATTTCAGATTCAAATGTACAAACAAACAAAAGCTCTTAAAAGTATGTTCTGATATACTGTTGGTGCTGCTGTTGGAAAAAGGACAAGGCTTCACATGTTGCTTTGGTTTTGACAAAGGAGAGAGAGGCTAAGGATATGCATGTCTTTGGTGCTTAAGATAAGGGTTTTTCTGCCATTTTGGAAATATTTTGGGTGTTTTTGAGAGCTGGCTGCTTCTTTTGGGTTTTTTCCTAAATTTCGCTTATTTCTTTGTGTTTGAACAACAAGCCCAAGAAAGAAAAAAGAATTGTTTATTTGGGCTCAGTCATGAGCCCATCATTACATCATGCGCTCAATCTGAAGGAATCTAAATCCCACTTAAATTATTTTTCCCTCTCCACCCGCGAAGTGTGTAGAGAGGAAAAAATAGGGGCAATGTGGGGACCAAATCTCACGTGTCATGGCTTAACCCATATGCTATGATTAAAAGACGTGGGATGATCAAACTTCCCTCCCACTAGAGAAGTGCAGAGTGAAGGAGACACAACCTGATCATCTGAACCCCATTACCATGAAGTGGAGGATGGAATGCGCAAAGCTAGGGAATTGGCTCTAAACCCAAGGACTCGAAGCACTATAAAAACCCGATTAGACCTCCAGCAAAAGTACGAGAAATTCAATTGAGCACTAAGAGTCCGCTACACAAACACTGACTTAAGCATCGGAGTGGCTTTTGCAGATACTCACCCTATTTTCATCGTCTGTTCTCGGGAACGAAATCAGAAGTTCTTTTTCAAATAAGTAAGTGTGCAGACTTCAGTCAAGAACTCGTGGATGTAGCATCCCACATCGACCAACGGAGAGAGGGTGATGTGCCTTATATGTACATGCCCATCTCCATCTAACATGAGGCCTTTTGGGAGCCTACTGACTTCGGAGTCATGGGAACTAAGTTAAGCAAGTTGGAGATAGAGCAATCTCAGGATGGGTGACTCATTGGGAAGTTGCTCGTGAGTTCCCAAAAACAAGACTGTGAGGGCAGAGAGGGGAGCCCAAAGCGGACAATATCGTGCTACGACGGAGCCGATCTCGAAATGTTTGTAGTGGAGGTATTTCTTCCTGAAAGAAATCCTGCTCCAACATAACCTCATTTGGATTGGAAGCTACCATTTTTGTTCCTGGTAAAGCTTAAATTTCTAGTGGATATCAGACTAAATACATATGATTCAGATCAGAAGTGTATATTTTTGCAAAGAATATAACTTTGCAATGAGCACAAGACATAAAAAAGAAGTCCAAATATTCCCAATACACTTTTACAATGAGCAGGCCGAGACAGATATCTATGTTAATTACTTTGACATATGTCCTGCATCAGGCATGTACAAACAATCCACTTTTGTTGGCAAACATGATTTAACAACTGCATGAACATTATTATCTAACCACAACAGAGAGATTTTACGAAAATTTAAAGAAGAGGCTGATAAATATTTGTTCAGGGCTGTACTGCTCCTCTATCTCCTGGTTCAAAGCTCAAAATGGGTCAAGGCAGAGGTCCCATCAAGGCCTTTGTCAATGAAGTAGGCATTATATTCCCTTATAGTTGTCTCCCTGTACTTTGGGGGGTTGTCTTCTGATAATAGTTCTTTGATAGGTCCATAGAGTCTCCCCAATGGTAGCATACCTGTGCTAAAGAAACTTGCAACCGATACTCTTGGACCTACACGGTTCGCTAGTACCCTGTGCTCTACGCTCTTGAATCTTTCATTTGATATAAGCTGCAACCCCAAAAGAACTCAACCATTAAAAAAAATTAAAAAAACAAAAGAAAAAAACCCAAAGTAGGAAACCAGATAGAAGAATTTGAGACATATTCAGGTACTATCATATACTACTACAGCCTACTCCCTTTTAAGAAGTATAAATAACATCTCCCTTTCAATTAAAGAAAAAAACAATGAAGAAGAAGAAGAATAGTTGTACTCGCCTGTAGAAGATCTCCAATGTTAACTACTAGAGCCCCAGGAACAGGAGGTACATCAATCCACTTGTTTTGATGAAGAACCTGGAGACCGCCAATATGATCTTGCAGAAGGACTGTGATAAAGTCATTGTCAGCGTGCTTGCTTGTCCCCAGAGTTAACTCTGGCTGGGGACATGAGGGATAGTAATGGCCTACATGCACAAGCCCTAAACTACAATCTATGTCATTCAAGTGACTTGGCTTTAGCCCAAGAGCCTCCGACAGCAACTCGAACAACAACTTCCCCAATTTCATTACTTGCTTGGAGTACTCAATAAGTATGTCTCTACAAAAAGTTGAAACACAGAAAAGCACATGAAGTTGTCATATATATATGATTCAATTAAAAATTGTAGAGCCAGGCATTTAACCAAAATGGTGAGCTGAACGGCTCTTGATTTATGTTTAGAAAAGGCAAATGGCCTACTGTCAGATGTCACCTACTTACTCATGTATAAACCTTGGATTAAGCTCATTCTTAATTAAAATATGGGATTCTTGTTTGGGACATTCTACCCCTCCCGGACACGATACAGCTTCGTCACAGGCCATAACAGATAAGGAACCAGGCCTGCTCTAATACCACTTGTCATGGGCTTGCTAGGTGCATGCCACTCAGCACAAGAATACCATTTGTTTGGTGATGCTGTCTACCCATATATAAAAAACCTAGATGGGTGATTCGTATCTGAATCAAATTAATTAATACCATCATAAACTTTCTAGTGATAGCAGAGAATTATAAGTTTCCATGTCACATACCTGAATACTTCTGGCATGTCTTCTGGCTCAGTAGGATTAGGAGCCATGTAGCACATAAAAGAATCCCTCCAATTAGTCGCTGGTGCTCTGTGTAGATCAAAGTTGCTATTGTAGACCACAGGTTTGAAGTGATCTCGAGTATAAAACTGTTTCTTCACTTGAGTGTCTTGCTCATAAAACCCACGTACCCCATCCTTTATCTCCCCCAAAACATCAATAGGTATTCCGTGATTCACAATTTGAAAAAATCCCCAAGTCTCTGATGCCTCTCCAACTTTTGTAACAATCTCCTTGCGTTTCGTTGGTCTATCGAACTCAAGGCCTTCAAGGTCTATGACTGGAACGCTAAACTGGGTGGCTTCTGAATCAAAGTTGTTGTTGGTGGAGTACTGATCTGGTGGTTGATGAAAAATTATAGGAACCACAGTTATCCCAGCATCAACAAGGCCTTTAACACCTTCCTTGGTGTCATCAAAAGCTCTTAGTTCACGTTTTCTGTCATAATTGATTGGAACCTCATTTGTATTGGTACCTGCCATCTTGGTTGCTGCTAAAGCTTAATGTTCTAGCGGATACAATATTTTTGAGAACACCATAGGCCAAGGATAATGCCAAATTTAAATTATTATGATTCAAAGTACTTTATAATATATTAACAGAGTTGTTTTTTTCACATTAATATATTCATTTTGGGTTAACAATTCAAAGTACAGACAGATAATATTATACAATTCAACTTTCTATATGGAAATATGATATTGATTATAAAATTTTAATAACATATCTATGTTTGATCCTAATAACTTTAAGACTTTTTGCCAATGGGTTCTACCACAGTGGTGGTGACTTCCCCCTTCCCCACATGGCACCCCCATTCGAAATGTGTGCACATTGGTGCTTGAGCCCCCCCTCCCTTTAGAGTAGCCTACCGTTGTATCAATAAAAAAACAAAAAAAAATCTTCAAGACTTCAAGTTGGTCAATAGTAGTAAAGCACTCGTATTCGTATATTATAAACAGGTATAGACAAATAATGCTCAGAATTCTGCTTTTGTTAAAGAAAAAATTCTGCTTCAGTTGACAAGCATGAAGGTTTATATCCAGAAGAGAGAGATTTTAAGGAAGTTTGTAAAAAGAGCTGAAAACCTTCGCAACTTTTATTGGAAAGCCATAATATTTCACAACAGATTATAAACAACCAATGTACTATAACCATACAATTATCTAACTTTATAACTTTGACTTTATGTCCTGCATCAGGCATGAACAAACAATCAACCTAGTATTGTGTATGAAGCGATATTTTCATGCCAGTTATTCAGAGCTTGAAATGAGTCAAGGCAGAGGTCCCATCAAGGCCTTTGTTATAGAAGTGAGCATTATATTCCTTCACAGATGTTTCTCTGTACTTTGGAAGATTGTCTTCTGATAGCAACTCCTTAATGGGGCCATAGATTTGTGGCAATGCTAAAAAACCTGTGGTAAAGAAACTCGCAACCGATACTCTTGGACCAGCACGATTTGCCAGTACCCTGTGTTCTACACTCCTGAATCTATCATTTGATATAAGCTGGAAGTCCAAAAGAATTCAATATCAGAAAACCTAAACTAGGAAACTAAATTGAAGAATTTGAGCCATATTCTAATGACTATAACAGAGGGACGGTGGGAAGCCCTATGCAAAAACTGAAGTGAGGCCATGCTACTACACTGCCGAAACTTTTCTCAAATTTTATACAACAAGACATTATAAAATAGATTCAAAAAATTCCCTATTCCCGGGATATATCCTGGTTTATGAAAGTTTTCCTCACATTCTGGACAACCTAATACATGTGTGCAATCATAATGTAATAGTACCTTTTTAATTAAAAAAGAACCCAACTGTATCTCCCACAAAATATAAAAGAGGAATAAGAATTATAGTTATACTTGCCTGTAGAAGATCTCCAATGTTAACCACTAGAGCCCCAGGCACAGGAAGTACATCAATCCACTTGTTCTGATGAAGAACTTGAAGACCACCAATATGATCTTGCAGAACGACTGTGATAAAGTCATCGTCAGTGTGCTTGCTTGCGCCCAAAGTTAACTCTGGCTGTGGACAGGGGGGATAGTAATTGCATAGAACCTGAAGCCCTAAACTACAATCCATGTCATTCAAGTGACTTGGCTTCAGCCCAAGCGCCTCAGACAGCAACTGGAACAACAACTTCCCCAACTTCATTACTTGATTGGAGTACTCAACAAGTATGTCTCTACAATGTTTGGATGGAGGGATTTGAAAGAAGGGATTTAGATTTGACAACAAAGCTAAATTTGCTTAAAAAAAACAAGAACCACATTAGATTGAATGTATTCTAAATAACTAGACATTTGAAATTACTATATGGAAGGAATCATTTGAAATCCATTTATTTTCTTCCTTTCATTCTTGTTCAAATCTTGGCATATATGGATTGTAATAGTCTATACAAACAACTTTACCTTATAATGTCATATAAATTCATAGATTCGGAATCCGTCCATGGAAATGGAGCCTAATATCATATTAAACCAGAAAATTATAAGCTTCCTTGTCACATACCTGCATACTTGTGGCAAGTCTTCTGGCTTAGGAGGATTAGGAGCCATATTACACAAAAAAGAGTCCCTCCAATTAGTCGCAGGTGCACTATAAAGATCGAAGTTGCTGTTGTAGATCACAGGTCTGAAGTAATCACGAGTGTAAAGCTCTTTCTTCACCTCAGTGTCTTGCTCAAAAAACCCACGTACCCCATTCTTTATCTCTTCCAAAACATCAACAGGTATGCCATGATTGGCAATTTGGAAAAAACCCCAAGTCTCTGATGCCTCTCCAACTTTGGCAACAATCTCCTTGCGTTTGGTTGGATTGTTATCATATTCAAGGCCTTCCAGGTCTATGACTGGAATTTTGAGCTGGGTTTTGGTGGGTTCTGAATCACAAGTGTTGTTGATGGGATACTGATCTACTGGTTGATGAAAAATTCTTGGAACCTGGGTTATCCGAGCATCAACAAGGCCTTTAACACCTTCCTTTGTGTCATCAAAAGTTTTTACTTCACTTTTTCTGTCATAATTTGTTATGCTTGGAACCTCATTTGTGCTGGTGGCTACCATTTTCGTTTGTGTATGCAGGATGGTAGAACTAAAGCTGAGCAAACTAGATATGGATTGCCAAAGTTCAGACCACAAATGAGTGAGGCTGGAAGAAACTAAAAGCAAGATATTTGCCCAGAGTCAAGACTGTGGGGGCGGGTTGACGCTATAGACATTTTTGTGGTGGCCAAAGGATATACAATGCCAATTCATTCTTTGGATTGGTAGGCTATCACTGAAACTAGAGGTGAGAAATTTCATGATTGAAAGAAAACTGAAACACGTCTCGTAACACATATAGCTATTTTATTTTTATTTTTATTTTTAATACAAGCAATAATCTAAACTATGAGGAGAATGGGGGTTTCTCACACTCTACTAAGGTCTCATGGGGGTTTGAACCTGAGAACACTAATCAGCAAGTGAAGGCCTTTTTCCACTTAGCTAGACCCTATTCACATGAAATTTCTCAAGCGATAATCTGAACAAGCTTCTCATTTGGGTAGCAGCCACCAATATGCTCTGATACAGGCTTCATATTTGTTTTCTTAATTTTCAGTTCTGCAGGATCAAACATATGGGCTTTTTTTCATGATATCTCGTACAACCCGAAGAGAGGCATAAAGAGTTGTACTTCCAACTCTCGCCTTTCCCCTCAAACGAATCAGAAAGAAAAGAAAAAGAGTTGCACGAGGATAATACATTTTGCCAAGCTTTATAATTTTTATTAAAATTAGTAGGGTTCTAATTCTGTTAGTTGACTACTTTTTCAAAAAATACATTCCATCTCTTAGTTCCAACTTCTCTTCAGAAACTAGACCCGTTAAAAAACTTTGCAGCTGTTGGAGAGTTTTGTCATAAGGAGGATCGGCTATGCAGAACATCTGCAGGAATGAATGTGTTAAGAAATCTATTAAACAGCAACAGGACATATAACTTTCTTACCAGATATCATGTTACTTGGCAGAAACAAAATATCACGGGGAGTGTTAAAATCATCCTTACCTTGAGAGTATTATGAATTCGATCTAATGCCATGCTTCCAAAGTTTGTGAGCATCCCCAAGATAAATTTCTGCCAAAAACCAAATACCATTTGAAAAGCTGAGAACACAATGGCACCATGCATTTTTATCTGTTTACATATTTGATATTGATACTCAAGACTGGACAAAGTTAACATGGTTATTATAAATGGCAAGCTATCAATTATGCGTTTCCTTTCCCCTCCCCTTAGTGGGAAAAGAAGGGAGTTAAATTTCTACTTCACTTGATTATTTCAGCTCTTGAGAATTTGGTAAAATGTGGAAGATAGTGTCATGAGCAGCAATTTTGTTGCCCCCTTTTGGTCTTTATAAAGAAGATCCAGTATGAAAATGAAGATCCAGAGATGGAAAACTAGAACTTAAGGCCGTAATACGTAGAGATGGAAATATACTGAAAGCAAAAGAAGATCCAGTATGAAAATGAAATGGTAGATCCTTCCTAAACAACTCAACCCATTGTGATGGATTTTAAAAGTATACCAAGATGTGGTCAATCTCGCACACATCACATACCTCATACACAGTCATTTCCTTGCGCAGTTGATCCTCCACAGAGGCTACAGAGCTCTCCCCCTCTTCATCAGCAACTATAAGATCCTCGATGCTTCCATTCGTACCACCGTTTTTACCACTGTCAACCATACCTTCCATTAGTGTAAACACGTGGTCTTCAGAGTCTGCCCCAATTGATTCTGCAAGAATTCCCTTCAATAGGAAAAAAGAGGCAAACATATGAGTTTTCTCTTGACTTCCAAAGCTTAAAACTCCAATAAATAACAAGGACCCATTTGAAAAAAATTTAGCTGGTGCTTGACAGGAAGGGGAACGTTTGACTTTACAATAAAATGACACATCATATCATTCAACTCGAAATTCAAAATGATTAAAGGTAACTAAGAAGAAAAAAAATCTGTAATCAGTAAAAGTAACCACTGCTGCTGAGAAATCCAGAGTTTCTAATACTCTTTACTCTGTCACCAAGACAGATGACTCAAAACTGGGGTTTTTCAAAAGTATGCTAGGGTTTGTGTTCAAAGACAACAAATATATCTGAAACACGAAAGTATTAGTCTATCAAGCATACCTTGCTTATCCAGAAATTTATCCTGCGATTAAGTATGTCTGTTGGAACCCCAATTGCAGCTGCAAGATTCTTAGAGGTCCAGCTGAAAGTATAAGATATCAGTATGGCAAGAAAATAGTAAACAACATAAAATGCATTAAGATATTTCTGACGCTACCTTGTCTGATCTTGAAATTGCATTATAATTGCTGCATGCACAGGAGCAACCACGAATTGCACTGCTCTATCTTCAAATTGCAACTCCAACTAAAACAGCACCAGCCATCATAAGTATTGTTAATGTCAATTCAGTGATTCAGGAAATATAGAAAATCTCAGCAAGTCAAAACTCTCCTAATAGAAAGGCATGAAATGACTGTGTAAGCAGCTTACCTTAACTGTACCAAGACTTTTCTTCCATAATAGTTTACGAGGGGTCTTGATTTCATTAAACCTCTTTGAATAATCAGATAGTAGTTGGTCAACAGGTCCAGGTACATTAAGGGACTCATCCTGAAATTTCGTTTAAAGGTTAATCAACCTTTACTGAAATTTTGTTACAAATAGAAAATGTAGTTCTAATGACAATAACAAATGCTAATGAGATGTATATATTATAACGGACAAAACAAAAGACATCAGTTTATGCACAAGGTTCTTGCTAGTCAATTTAGAAAGAGTCAAACATAAGTTGCCTAGATACTCATGCAGAGAATATGTCAAGGAAAATAACTTTGGTGAAAGAAACAGTGGGCAAGGAAAATACTGAAGTTAAGTGAATCAATAGAATAGGCGGGAAATTTTAAAAGAATTAAATTAAATTAAAATGCTTGCAAGAAATCATAACTAATGGGGGCCTCGAGGAGCATTAAGCTATTAAAGCCACTCCTAAATGCAGAAGAAACAACCAAAGTGCAAGCGATTAGGTTTAAATATAATCATGTTCATATGCATGGTATCACTGATTGCAGAGAAGTGTGTCAAGAAGATATTTCAAATTATGAGAATGTAAATCCTCGATCCGTCTTTTCCCTCTAACAGAAATTTCGAAATAAATGACATTACCACTAGCAACAATTCATTACCTGGATTTGGGGCCAGAAATTTGAAGAGATGATTGTTGCATCAAAAACATCCATGGAAACCCCGTTATCTCCCAGCTCAGAACCTAAGACATCCACCCCACGTTAGTGGGATAAAATAAAATAATTAGTCTTCTGGTAATGCTGGAGAGAATGGCCCAAAAACCAATCATCTGTAGGGAAGACGTAAAGTTTGGAAGCTACCTGCTTGAGATGTCTGAGTTATGGTTGCTTTAATATTGCCGTTAGTCCTTTTAGAATCAATCAGATCATTCAGCATAATTTCACATTTCTGCATGCTGCTCTCTCCAAAATGTATCTGAAGAATGATTACAAATTATGAACATTAAGGTAGACAGTTTGAAGACTACATGAACAACCAATACACCCAACTAAACAAAGAATAAAAAAACCACTTGCCTTGAGGAGTTCAAGAGTGCGTATCTCTGTATCGATGTCATAGTCAGATTTGTTGAGAAGCTTTTCAGCCAGCATAACACGATATTCATTAACTAGTTGATCTTTTGAACCAATTATGCCAACAATCATCCCAAGTATGTCAACCTTCCTTCGGTTCCTGCTGCCCTTCAAGGGGTCAGCTTCTACAGGGTCTGGCTCCCAGCTGAAACAGAAGAATTATAAAAATACATCCCCTGAGTATGCAAAGAACAAAAATATAGCATCTGATTGGATTTGAAAGCAACTAAATTACTTTCCATATAACTTGCAAACAACTATAATACACTTTCATCCACGGCCTTGCTTATGCACATACCGTGAAGCATTTATCCATGCCTGCTTGTCATCAGTGTGGAAATCGTCATCAAGACCAGCGTTCTCTTGATTTTCTTCATCTCTGTTTAATTCTTCAAGAAGGCTATCCCCAGTGTTTCCAGATACATTCGGATTCCCACCAGTCCCATCTGTAAGCATGGTCACAATGCACTTTATGGTGTCCTTCCTTCCCCTCAAATAGTCCCTAATTGGTTCTCCAACTGCTTCGAGGAAAACACCTGCTGGATCTATTGTCCGGAGTGCTTTAATTGTTGAAACATATTGATGCAAAATGTCATTGGTTGAGGCACCTGCAGTTAGCAAGCGATATCGTAGTGCAGAGATAAATGACTCGACCAGCTTAGAGTGTTGTCCAGTGTATTCAAGACACTGTTTCAAATCTTCAATTGCAGGAGAGCTGCAAAACCCCAAAAGGAAAACAAACGATCAAGGAAAGCCACAATAAATGAAGGTTATTTAAGTGATTGTAACACACCCCAACACCCCCAACAACAAAAAAAATCAATTATATATCATCGTGGATTCCAACAATTGAAACCAATACCTGTCAGGGTAATCCACAATAATCTCAAATAATTTAGTTATTCTTAAATCTTGCAATGTTTCGTATGCAAAATACTCTAGTCGCAACTGCCATCTAACAAGTCCTTCAGATGGGGTGTCAATTCCAGGATAAAATGTAGAAGGACATGAAGCCAAAGGTGACTTGAGACCAGATGAAACACTGTCATAACTAACAGAGTCACCAAGATAAGCAAGAAGGGCATGCAAGAACTGAAGAGGCACAGCCTGCAGAACACACATTCAAATATTAGGAAAACTTTAGCCTTTAAAAACATAAAGCCGTATTGGATAACCAAACCATTTGTGAGGTTATGTGCGGCTTCACAGTTCTCCACAAAAATGGAAATGAAACACAAGCATATGAAAGCCACCTGAATCCACCCCTTGATGGACTCCAAAACAGAAATCCGGTAATCATCACCAGCAAGATCATGAACTTTGGCCTGCCATTCAAACAAGACAAATTAGAAGTTAGCAAGACAAATGAAATGGTGGGATGTTTAACATATAACAGTATACTGAATCCAACAGCAGAGATAATGATCACCTTTAGAAACAAAAAAATAGCAGAAGCATAGGCATCTTCAGTCATAGATGTAAACCCGAGACTTCTAAGATCGCGAACAACCTTCCCTATGTTGTTCACCAATTTATTGTTGTCCAAGAACCTCCCTTGGGGATAGCATTCATCAATCTCCATTTGTCCACTCCTGTATGAGGCTTTGCATTTGTCATCTAAATCCATATCATCTTTATCATCATCATCATCATCATCATCATGCGGGAAGTCTCCACCCATTATAGTACTCAGTTCCTCCAACCTTCCCTTAAAATACCAGTGGAGTATCTCTAAGAATTAAGAACATGGAGAGTATTAAAAATAAACGCAAGTAATTACAAATTAAAACAAACAAACAAAAGAACATGTAAATTGAAAGTCAAGATCTTATATTTATTTATTTTTGTACCAGGAAAATGCCGGGGAAGAGTGGCCATAAGAACTGAAGACACTGACATTTGGTACTTAGCAAACAGCTCAACTCTGTAATCATTAGAATCATGGCTTCCATGGTTGTAAGACTGCAAAGCATGAACCAGAATCAACAGACACTTCTCCTGGTACTGCTTTTCCAAAGATATTTCTTCCAAAGCGTTATAGAACACTTCCTCTTCAACCGAAACGTCGTCGTAAGCCTCGAAATGCCGCCAAAATTTCAAGGCACCATTTTTCTCGAAGGTTCGCTCCAGCGCACCAAGGAAGTGGTCTCGGAGCAGAGACTCGAGCCCGTGCTTGCAGAGGCCGTGAACGTGAGATACGAACTGCGGACCGACGGAGAGGTCGCCGGCGCCGTTTAGAAGGGTGTCCGTAGCAGCACAGAAGCCATTGTAGCTTTCGAGGATTTCTTCGATGGAGCCATCGCTGAGTTTGTCGAGAATCGCTAAATTGCACACTGATGAAATCGAGTCCGCCATTGAAATGCCCTTGAAGCTACCGCATTGCTTAAATTAGGCTAATCTTCAAGAGAGTTTGATAGATTCTATGGCTGAACATTCCCAAATTCTTTACAGACCACACAAATTCAATGAACCAGAGACACAAATTCTAGCCGCAAGCCAGCTACCATAGCCACGAGCTCAACCAAAATTGGTTCTTTGAGCAAATATTGACCCAGCATTCGAGTAGCCACAACACACACCAGCTACAATCCAAAGTGAGAGGAGAGAGAGAGAGAGAGAGAGAGATAAGGGTTGGGGTGGGGTAAATCCGGAGAGAGAGGTGGTGGCTGGGATAGAAGAAGGTGGCGAGAGGGTCAGGAGAGAGGTGGGGAGTGTGGCGGTGTAAAGCAGGGGCGGGTTGTGTAAGTTTGGTTTTCAATTTTTTTATGTTATTTTATTTCTTTTCACAATATTAAAATATAACTCATTGTGTAAATTATTCTAAATTGATATAATTTACGAAAATAGTTTTCTAAAATTAAGTGCATAGATATAGACCCACTGTCCTGATCAACTAGCCTAATCTACAACTCAATTAATACCTCATATTTTGCTTTTTTAGGACAATACTTTAGACTTTTTGATGGAGCAACTCCAGAACTTGTGGCCATATGAATTACTAGTTTTTTTTTTTTTTCTTCTTTAAAAATTCAGTTTATAACTTTTTTATAAAAAAAAATATGAATCCAAAATGCTTTACAGTTTTGGAGGTGTCCCAGTTTTATGGTCAACTACATAACATGTTTTTTTTTTTCTCTTTTATTTAATTCATTTTATACAGATTGTGAATGTACTAATGTATCCTTTTGACATTTTCATTAACTAATGACAATCTGTTTTTAGGTCGTCTCCCTTTATATAAATAGATTAACAAGCCCAACTTTTGACTTGGGCTTAGGATGACAAATTATGCAGCCCATTTGTCATTTCATTTCCTGTATGCACAACATCCATGGCATGGGAGTTGAAATAAACCCATTTCTGAGGCATTATTTCACTGTGTCAACAATCAACTACTTTGAGTTTGATTGAATCCTTTTTCCAACGGCATCTATGACAAGAGCAAGAGCAATGAATGATACAGCCATCTATCGTAACTATGGGATCGTGGGGCTGTGGCTACTGGCTACTGACTACTGACCAGTACTACTACTGATAGTAAGGCCATGCCGGTGAGATGCCAAAATTGAATGGATCAACCTTCCCTACCTAAATCCTTTTTAAGTAAAGGGAACCACCCTCTAGTCGAAACTAGTTTCAAATTTTCAATTAATGTCCCAATATGGTTATTTGGGTTGGCCCATATCGTAGACCCAATGTGAAACAAGGACTGGGGGACCAGCAACGCAGCTACATGAAACCGGCCGGCTGATAAAATTTATTCACCAAATGATGTAGCAATGAGCATATGACACAACCGAGATCTTGCAAGTGCAACGAGCAAGATGGCAAGTAACTAATTGAAGTTCTCAAATCCAAGCATAAGAAAAATTGCAACCGTACATTAACAAGTGATATCACCAGCAGAAATAAATACCAATAATAATGTAATATTTCTTAACGTTAACAAACCAGGTCAGCTAAAATAGAACACCACCGCTCAACATAACCAAAAAACCCTTCTTTCCACTAAAATGTTTCCCTAAATTTTCGAAAAGCGAGACTCAAGTACAGACAGATGCGTGCATACAAAACTAGTTCCTTCGGGAACAGTCAGGTGAAGTCAGAAACTAAACCCTCGCATCATCTAAGGTTCCTCCTGAATCCTCATGTAGTTTTTGCTTTGGGAGCTCTTTTTCTGAGTTGCCTCTTTGGTATCGACGCCTTCATGCTTATGAAAAACAGCAGAGCCCCAAAGAATGCCAAATTCTGCAAATCATAAAAAAGGAAATCATTAATAATGATTTTGAAACTTTTTCTTTGGTTTTAGCTTTTTATATAATATGCCTATCTAAGCCCCATACTAGGGAGCATTTTTGCTCACCACTTTAACCTTAAGTGTACCCTCACCACCCTTCTTAGAAGTTGACATATGTCCATAGTTATAACCATAGTTAACTTTTAAAATTTAAATTTATTAAAGTATTTAAAACCAAATAATAATAATAATAACATTTAAGAAAAAAAAACCCAACAACCCTAGCCACCATCCCCAGCCACCATCGTCACCCTCCACCACGCCCTAGTCAACATATCTTTTACAAAACAAGAAACTAAAACGATTATCAATTTTTAAGAAATAAAAACTGAAGAAGATTTAGTATCTTGTTGAATTGGTTGGTGGGGCCTTCAAGTGCAAATCAGAACGTTTCTTGTCTTTGACTTGTCACTAAGGCATCGACCACAAGGCTTGCGATTAGAAGGCTCTCTTCTTTCCAATCGGCCATGGCAGCAATGGATTGAAATCTGGGGCTAAATATGAGTCTCTACTTATGCCATTGTTTTCAACTTTAATAGGATCGGACGACTCTCTCGCTCGGATTTTGGGGTCTCTTGGGCTCGGTTTTGAGTCTTCTTACCTCGCCATCTTCGGCAGATTTGTATTGCTGCAGGGAAACGGTGGTTGTGGTTGCCGAGGTATTTCTGGCGGCAAGGAGGACAGAAGGTTGCTGCCGGTGGAGTTTACCAGATTGGTTGGGTGCTGGTGGCTGTTGGGTTTTTGGTTTTTCTCTAATTAAATTTTATTAAAAGGATTTTTATTTTTTCCTCTCTCATAATAATGTCATTAGAAAAAAAAAAAAAAAAAAGTTAACTATGGTTACATCTTTGTACATGTGTCAACATTTAAGATGGGTGGTGATGGTACGCATTGAGTTAAAGTGGTGAGCAAAAATGCTCCCCCCATACTATTGTCTAAGCATATTGTACACTAGATCCCTAATGTCAATAAAGAAAGGCAGCCTTGTGCAAGCAGCTTCTAAGAATCTAACCTAAGGCTAAGGGAGAATCCAAGTCATAACGGGGCAACCCCACTCTCTGGCCAAGAATCAGCCTCATTAATTTCCAAAAAGAAAAAGAATCACCCTCATTATGTGAAATATCAATATTAGGACTTTTTCCATCTTGAAGTTTGATCCAATTAACCTTCCTCCTGTAGTTTAAAACTTAACAAAAGTAACCATTTTAACCATATCAAACTTGTCTAAATCAGACATTTCATCATTGGTCGAGCATTAGCGAGCCGGCAATTTTTAACAGCAAATTTTCATCCCTATAATTTTGGTTTGATCCCACTTTAATCCATATGGTTTGACCTCGTTGTTGAGTAACTTATACATGTTCTGTCTACAAAATTGACAAAATGTCTAATTTGGACAAAATTGAAATGTTAAGAAAATTAAGAGGGTATGTTTGTTGAGTTCTAAATTATAGGCATGACAGTCAAATTAGGACTAAACTACAAACATTAAAAATGTGTCTGAGAGAGAAAGAGAGCAAGGAATCTTGATTTCCAACCTGGGTAAACTTGAGGAAAAGTTGATTGAATTCGGTCTTCTCAGGATCATAGTTGTAGAAGTCGTACAAGATAGGAGTGGCGATGGCCTGATGCAGAAGCTGCACAAAAATATATTGAAACACGTGTTTCAGAAACTATGTTGGTCTACAGGTACAAAACAAAGACAGGCTCAGACGACCAAATCAATTATACAAAATACAAACCAGCAGATAGGCTCCAATAGAAGAACCAAGGACGAAGAGAAGACCCCCGATGCCCTTCAAGGCTATTGTGGCCGCCAATAAATGTTGGATCTGCCATTAACAAAGTACAAAATTCACTTGGGTTGTATACAAATAAGAAGTTATTGAATTAAAGCAAAAAAATTTAAAATTTCTCACTTCAAATTGTTGGGGCTCTTTCAAACCAGTGTGAGTTGATAGATGATTCCAGAAAATATCGAACTTGGGTCTCAGAGACTTGGCTGCGGGTCCGCCATCCACACCAAATTCACTGAACCTATAAATAGAAACAAATATGAACTGTGTCATCGAAATCAAGTAACATATTACAAGCTCATGCTCCATCAAATCAAAACATGTTAAACTCCATCAAAATCAAAGTGCATTCAAAGAATTGAAATATGCATAAATCAGATCATGTCACACAGCTCTTGTTCTTGAAGTTACTTGGATCTAAGCATGCATGCTTCACCATGAAAAATAACCAACTTTTTGAAAGGAAAAAAAAAGAAAGCAAAGCTATCAAAAATACCCACAAACTTGATTTTGCTTCTGTCAATTCAAAAGCTAACAAACAATAAATTACATAAAAATCATGCCTAAAATGAAGTGGGTTCCCTGCATGCAGCAAGATTATGAAACGTAAAACATACATCATCAACTAAAATTCCATTTCAGATTTGCCCAATTCAAACTTCAACTTTAAAGTTCTCTCTTTTTTTCAATAAAACTAGACACAGAGCAGTCACAGAGAGACACAGATCTGGGCTCACTCTTGCCAAGCAGAGAGAAGGAAGACAGAAGCGAAGAGAAGCCTTCCAACGAACGAAATGAAGGCCATGTCTGGTGTCTGTACGGAAATAGACCGAAGCGATGCCGCGGCAGAGACTCGAGACTTTGGGGCCCGACTCTCAGACAAAGTTTCGAATTTTCGATGCAAGAAAAACGAACTCGGACAGGGGTGATAGTGATAAGGGGGGAGTAGATCTAGGAACGGCGTCGTAAAGAGAGGGACAGATGTACGCGTTCGAAAAATTTAAAAGAGTAAAGCGGTCGTTGGATACCATTCGAATCGAACTAATAATACTTGCGCGAGTGATGTACATGTGTGTACTCGCGCGTTATTAGTGACGATTCGGGACCGGCAGGCCTACACGTTAACTCACCAATCATTTGGCTTGTGGTTTCTCGTACTGGAGCCCACCGTGGCGTTCGTGGCGGTTTTGAAAAGCGAGTGTTCGTGATGTCGTAGATCCAGAGAGTATTGAGATTGCTACTTCTGTGATTTTGATTTTGGGCTTGAAATTTTACACTGGTGCCCCTGAGCATGTTCTTGTCCATTTTAATGTTTTTTTGTTTTTGTTTTTTTTGAACATTTTAAAATTTAAATTAAAGTGCTCTTGCCATGTGGTTTTTTCTATCTTCCTTACCACTGGGATTTATTTTTTTCTTTATTAACAGTTGGTTCTATCATTTATGTTTTGTCACCTAATCTTTAGCCCATCTAGCTGCAATAAATA